CGCAACTTTGGCATACCCAAGTTAACCCGTCATAATAAATTTGACAGAATTCGTTTTTATCTTTTTTATTTTTTTACGGTATAGAAGCGGTTTGGTACCCTCGCGAACAAATCAGGCTTCCTCGAAAAAATGATAATCTCCTGGACTCCCACCTTTCCCCTTAGGCGGTCCCGGGGAGAATGCCGAGGTAATAGAGGAGGGCCTCATATATATAGGACTGTGGCGGACCACCACTTGCGCGTAAGTGGTTGCGCGGGAGAATTTGAATTATTATCTACTTACTATACCTATTTCTCAATTACATATTAAATTGTACAATATTTAACGATTAAAAATAATATTATTATCTTTCCTAAATTACTTTTAATATTATTATCGTGAAAATTAAGATTTTGATCACGAATGTACAAAGCAGTGTTACCGTAACATTTTTTTTAGATGGATCGATCACGCGTAAGCGTCGATCAATTACCAGCTGCAAATTGGTTAAACGGTAAACGAGGATAAATTGCATCGAATAAAATGAAGCTGCAATTGATGAGATTTAAAGCACCATCTGTTCGCGTTTCGATAACAATCCCCGCTTCTTTCAATTGGTTCTTCCATATAAAGCCTATGAAATTCGAACATCGATACCTCGACTCATTCTTTTAAAAAACAAATTCAATATTTTGAAATATAAATTAAGACACTGGGTTAAGAAATTAACTAGTATTATTAAGGATTTGTATTATTGTGTGTCAATATAGTTTCTTCAACTTTTGTTACTTTTCGTACGGTATCAAACTAGCAAAAGAAGAATGCCATTTCCCGCAGCTTCCGGCAGTTTCTCGTTAACACGGTTCGAGGGATCCCATTGACACGCGAAATTCGCCATAGCAACACGCCTTCCACCCTCGCCTTCTCCCACCCTCCTAGCATCCCCTTTTCGCGTGCGAATCGACTGGTGTCGAGGAACTCGCAGACACCAGGCATCCGATTTAACAAAAGTTTCACAACCGACCGTAATTTCTAACAAAGAATTCGATTTCGTCCGATCCGGCTAACTCTGGACAAAGTGTTAAGTTGTTGGCAAGATTGCACTTACGACTGATCGATTTGAAGCTTGAAGCTTCATCAAAATTTCTATGTAAACATTTTACCATTCATTTTAATATAAAATAGGTGCCTGCGAATTGCAGCAAAAGTGAAGACAGCAAAAGAAGAAAAAGAAGAAAATTCCATCAACAGCTTGGCACACCGATGTTTTCCTCGTCGCACAGTGGGAATTATGTTTCAGCGGTTAAAAATCTATAACTTTTGAAAGAGTGAAGATAAAGTAATATTTCTTTTTTCTTTAATGAAGTTGAAGTATTCTTCATTACTTAAGCAACATTAGATAACACTTTAGACCTTTTAGAGAGAATGTTGTTTCCAGCCATCGGGAATTTTTCATCGAAAACATTTTTTTATTGTAATATGAAGATTTGTATTTACTTTTAATTTGATTATAAATTCCAGCAAGATTAATACTAAATAATCGCGGTACGTCTTCACATCTAACTCTACACTTTTCTGCTATCTTATGGACAAAATTCTGTTCACTAACATGTAAAATCCATTTTTATACCTATTATACAAAAACTACACTGAATTCAATTAAACTTAATTTGGAATAATGTACCGCAGTAAAATCACACTTTATTAATGGCCAAAGTTTCTTATATAAATATTCTTTAAACCTGTAAATTAATTGGAAATGGTTACAGACGGATGTAATTATGTAACGGATGGTACATAAATACTACATTAACAGTTGAACTGTAAAAGAACTGTAATTTTTTTATTTCATATAATTTACATAAATGTATGTAATTACTGTAGCTAAAAATAAATATTTTTATGTATACTTGGTTTATTTTATCCTAAAAGACTCAAAGTTTAATTTATTAAACAAAAAGGAAGACAAAAAAAGCGTTGCCTTATTTAATTTTATTTAATTAACTTAAGTTGCTTCACCTATTTGAATTTCAAAATTATATTACTCAAAAATAAAAGCTCCTGGAAAAGAAATCATTTGTATTCATTATTAGTAGACAGTCATCTTTCCATCAAATAATTGTATTTTTTTGGAAACCCAGAAAAATCGATTTTTGGTCATAGAATCTGGTTTTCTTCCCACTGTGCGTCGTTTGCACCCTCTCTTCGTCATCCAGCTTCTACGAAATTTAACCTTCCTGCCCTTTTTCTGCTTCAAGGGAAGCTCTGTTATTCCTCGTGCCACGAATGCACGCCTACCAGATATGTAGCCGGATGGCGAAACGAAAACGAGAAAGCGAATAACGACCGTGTGGTGCGAGTATATATGAAATTCTGAGAGAATGCATGGACAAGCGTGAAAAGCAAGAATTTGCAAGGTGCGGCTAAGAGGAACTTAGTTGACAACTGCAGCCAGAAATTACGTATGCGACGACTCGCTACCGCAATTAACAACGCGGTAATTTTCTCTAAGATTTTCTCTAGGAAACACGGGATAGCTGAGACTCTGGTGGGGCCGGTTAATGATCGGCTCCGGAATTGAGTTTCCGTTCCGAGTACTAAATTTTCGGATACCCGTACCTTTGTACTCTTACGCTCCAATTGCGAGGGTTAAAATTTCTAAACTTTATGTTCGGAAATGAAAATATTCCCGATTTTTCCGGGCAAGTAATCTGACGATGAGAAAAGCGGCTAGCTCGGAGAAAAAGGTTTCAGGTCGCGAAAACCGATCCGTCTTGGGGTCGCATCGGAACGCCACTTATGGTAATACATTTCGTGCATCGCGCAGCATGCATAATGCAGCCAGAACTCGGAATTTATGTTTCGAGGCCGTTGTTACGAGCACTCCTGGCGGAGGACTCGTGTCTCCTGTCCTGCAAGAAACATCTGCTGCTCGAACGAAGAATAGAACGAGCTTGGCTTTCATGGATCCCGACCAGAGCCTGCTGCTCTCTTCCGTTTCGCCGTCACTTTCGAATACGTGATTCTCTCTAGACGATTCGCAACGGACCAGAATTTTCGGGTAAAAATTTCCACCCTTACACGACAACACGTAGGATGATCCTTCTAACTCTCGTGTACGAACAAGGAATCTGCGAATCTAATACACACTTGGCTCGTTGGGTTTCACTTTTGCTGAGCAACGAGATCGATGCAACTGTACCACCAGATGGGAAAAAGCTGTGCCAAGCGAACAGGAAGTGAGATAGAATAACGAGTTGCCGGTAACTGAGTACCAATTCTCAGTAAAAACTAGACAGCAAAAATATTTGCCTAGAAGCTGATAAGCTTTTCCTACAAATATCCAAGGAAATATAAAAGAAAATGAAAATAATATGGAATATAAAATTACGAGATCTGATATTTGACAGACTGAAGGATTTGATCAATTGCACGATGACTAGCCAGTTTGATTTCTAATCAAAGATGAATGAATCCTGAAGGTTTCTTTCCATATTAAACCTGTTTCAACACGATTAGCCACCTCGGAACTTACGAAACTTATCGTTAATAAAATGCTTCTATATTTCACCCCGCATAATAAATGAGTTGCGCTAATTTTTATTCGCGTGTTATCGATGGCATTCGAAGCGGCGTTATCTAGCTGATAAAGATAAGCTGACGATTATTTTCAGAAATGCAGTTTATCTGCATTTTCTTCGGTTTGTAAACACCAAGGTATAGAAGAAAAATGAAAACTAGCAATAAGAAACTTACAATAATTAACAGCTAAAGAAAATGTGGACTCTCCCCATAAAAAATTATTAGAATAAATAAATAAGAAATTCGTCAACTTATAAAAGTTAAATTATATTAAAATTAAGTAAGAATTGATACTTTTAGCAACACTGGAAAAATTGATCCATCCGAAATAAAAATGTTACATTTTTTCGCCAGTGCGTAGCATACAGTTCGGAAAATGATAAACTACGGTCTTCCGAATGATCGTTATTGGCCTATCGATACGGCTATGCATCAGGCAGCTAACAGCAGATTCGGAGCAATCGGCGCATTGTTTTATTGCCAGCGACGCTCCCTATTCGACCGATGCAAAATTCCCCAACGATTGCCATCAATTCGCGACGATCGTTTGTTCCGGTTGAATCGCAAGCTTCTTCTATTTGTCGACGGAAGCGATTTAACCTTTGTATGGGCGACCGGAAACCGTCCTACCCGTTCGAGCTTTAATATCCGACATTTTTATGTTTCTAAAATAAAATCGTCGAAACGCTGGATTGAGGTAGGCAATATTAAAGAGAAGGGATGATTCACGAGAATCGAATTGAAAATTCAAAATATGAAATTTTAGTCAATTATTGTATCTGTTTATTTGATAGGTATATCCACCCCTTGATAATTTGCATAAAAAGGGCTCGCTATTTGGAGGGTTAACCCTTCTAGCCTTAACCCCTCTGAATCGACGCTGCACGTGACCAATTCCGCTACATATAAATGCTCAATTCCCAAGATACAATATCAAAATAATCACTGGTTATATCTTAATAAATAATAGATAATAAATATAACGCATCCTGAAAAAATTGATTTGTCGATACAATGTACTAATGTACATTATGTACATTGGGTTAAATCTGTTGCGCAGCTCAATTGAGGACTACGAACCGCGAACACGTTGAAACTTGACAAATAACAAAGGAATGCAACTGTCAAAAGGTTAAATCACTTCTGTATCGCAAGAAACGTAACTATGGTAACGGGGCAAGGAAGATGCATCGATAATACTGATCCGGTCCCGGCAACGAGCAGCTGTTCCGAAAGTATGGACGGATTTCGAGGCCGAGTCGGCCTCGATCGAAAGTAAAAGCGTGTAACCGTAACCGGTATCGGCGCGACGCGACGGACCGCGTATAATCGAGTTTCATACTCGTTGCGATCGAGCTCTCGATATTACGGAAATCCGTACGAAACGCAAGTGGGGCCTAACCTATACCGGTGTTATTTCTTTCTCTATATTCACTCACCTGATCGTTCGGTCAGCTCCGAAAGCCAGTCTTCCGGAGCGTGTAAAAAAATTCCGTGCTTCTTTCTTCCACCACTGTTCGCACCGACGAGAAGGACGCACGCTCTCCGAAGCCGGTCGAGAAAAGAACAGCGACAGCAGTGGCGACGGCGGTGGCGGCGGCGGCGGCGGCTGTGGGCGAAATAAAACGGTGTCCTTTTTAACACGGCCGCCCTTGTTGTCGGTGAACACGCACGAGTCAACGGAAAAGTTCGTAAGAATAAAAAATAAAAAAAAAATAAAGAAACTACACCACTAACGACAACGACGACGACGAACGAGAACCGACGAGCACCGCGACGATCCGCGTAGGCGCTGGGCGCGTACTGTGCCGAACGAACGAAAGCAGTATGGCGCCCGGCAGCTTTCCTGCTGCGCGCTCGTTCTCCTCTTTGTCCCCTTCCACGCATCTGTCTTACTCCCACTCCGACTACGTTCCTGCGCCTGTCCTTCTCCTTTATCCCTTCCCCTAGCTCTTTCTCTCTCGGATTCTAACCGAGCATACGAGTTCTCCGTTCTTGTCGCGCTATGTGCGTGCCTACCACGTTACTAGCGATGGGCATTTCAGACCTGCTCTAGCAAGATTTTTAACTAGTGATAGATACCTGAAACTATCGCTCAAGAATTTTCAAGTAAAAGAAATGTTTCTAGAGTATGCTCGAGTGATACTATTTTTCTTTTAATCGGCGCTGACTGGACTAATCCTGAGCCTAACCTACTACTTTCATATATTTCAAAAATCACATTTGAATGCAAGATATTATAGTAACGAGTAGGAAACCGAATGGAAAAATACAGAATTTCTATTTGCTTTTATTACAAGTTTGCGCTAACTTATCTCAAACTCATCGCTAGCAGCTCTCTCTCGTGCCAATCCATCTTGCAACGTTCCCTGTTTCTCTCGATGCACAAATCGTCTCTTCTCCCCGAAACCTCGTCTATCCTTCTCTGTTTCTAACCTGCTACCCTCTCGAGGGTGCGTGGAGCGTCTCTTTTTCGCTTACACCCGTTCTTTCCGTCTCTGTTCGATCAAAGAGGCCCTCCCCTCTATGGATCAGTCGCTCGACTATCCCTACCGCTTCTCGTCTGGTCGGTGCGGTGTAAAGGAGAGAGAGCGATGGGTGCGTGGAACGGAGGTGGACGAGAGTACATGCTTTCTGTTGGCGCCGCAGAGGGCAGCCAATGACGGCGCTGCAGGAGCAGTGTCCCTTGCGAGGTCGCGCGACCAGACGCCTCGCTTTCCCCCAGAGAACACGGCAGCGTGGGCGAGAGATGAGATTAAAATTAGATCGATTGTCGTTAATAACCTCTGTGCGGCGCGGCGTCCTATCGCGTCGGCCGATGCTCCTCGCTCCTGAAATGCAACAGTTAGGGCTGCGCCGGTTACTGTAACTGCGCCACCGGGGATCGAGTATCGCGCCCGCTACCTTTTATCTACTCCAAAGGACAAAGCGGAGGTTGAGGTACTCGTGTAGCTAGACGCGAGCACGTTTTCCAAGGAAATGGTTGAAGGTGTTGATAAAAAATCCCCCCCCCCCCCTCGACCGCCATTTAATCCGGCACTGATAAAGCGGGCTAATTTGTTGGCTTATAATTAATGAGGAAGTATACTTGAAAATTGAATTTATGCACTTTTGTGCATCGCTGCCAAAAGTATGGAACTGCATTTTTCAGGTGCAACGATGCATAAAGATGCATGGTATGCGCGTTAAATCTAAAATGCTTTCGATGTTCATCCACGTTCCCCGACACGTAACCGCCGTAAATACGACGGAAAGTAATATAGAAGAGAGAATTATTTCTCGCATCGCGTCGGTTCGAATTCAATGAAAGCGGTTTCTGCAAAGGATATTAGCGAGTCGGCCAGAAAATCTGGCGAATGGATCGGCTGAGAGAACGCGGAGTAGGCGTTAAGGACACGTGGGCATTCGTGTGATGCAGAAAATGCAAGGGAAACGAAGACAAGGAGGAACGTCGCCGGATAAATGATTCATTATGCTGTGTACGGAATATTTAATGATAAGGAACGAAGAGAAAAAAAAGATCAAAGAGACGCAAATGCCGTTCGTACAAAGGTGGATAAAAAAAAAAAAAAAGAAAAAAAAAAATAGAAGATTAATACTGTTGTTTATAAAGGTACTCTCGAGCGATCAATATATACATATTGGAAGTGCTATTAATTTATAATGTAAGAATAATTTCTAAAGGAGCACTGTATAATTTAGAAAATGAAAATAATATGAAATGCAAAATTAAATTAAAAGTGGGACTCTCCTCTCCATGGTCCGTCGTCCGAGGATTAAATGACCGGTTGCATTTCAACATAATTTACGATTGATCAAACTGTTAAACGAAGAAGGTTGTCGACTTAAAATGCATCTTCCTGCAGCGTAATCCTTGTCGTTAACGTTTTATCACACACTGGCTCGTCTAATTGGTTCGTTAGAACCCGGGCTGATTGTCGATCAGAGAGCGACGATAACGGTTATCGATCCGGATCCGGTACCGGTTCGGCAACCGGTCGATTATACCTCGGAAAATCGAATCTCCTTAATAAACTGGATCGCACGTTAAACGCGTAAGGTTACGCCCGATTTTCTCGGATACCTCAGCCAACGGAACAGCGGTTTGCACGGAAGTTGCGCCGGAATATTGATTCCGCTCGAGTAGCTGTCTCGGCAAAGCGATATTTGCTTACTTCGTTAGCGGGCATTGCTTCTTCGTTACAACCACGGCAATAATTAAATTCGCCAACTGACCAGCTTTGTATCTCCAAACGTTCCGAGTTCAACGACAGAGCTCAAGGAGGAACGGGTGCCCTTTTGTCAGTTTTATTTGAGGAAACTTTTTCAATCAAAGGGAGCAGAAAACTTGGATGTTGCCGTGTAGTTAAAATTGGACAATTTTATAGTTCAAGATTGTCTCGACGAAACAAAGCATCCTAGTTCCTAAATTCAACAGCAACAACGATAGCGTAGGAAACGTACCGTGGGCCAATTTCGTTGGGGTAATCACCAGGGAAACAGGTTACGAGCACGAATAAGACGATCGTCGAGGGAGCAGTTCGTTTAGTTGTTCGTTGAATCTTTTATTCAACGAGTTAAGTAGCTGGTAGACGTGTTGTCGCAAGAAATCCTCCGTAATGTCAAGAGACGCGCGAGGGCAGGAAAATGTAGTCGCGGCTACCCGAACAGGCTCATTATCAGATCGGGTATAGTGAAATCGGGCGAATTGGTCTAGAGCAGGGCTGGGCAAGTAGCGGCCCGCTAAGAGTTTTTTTCTGACCCGCCAAGACATAAAAATCCGTCTTGAACCGAGACCGAAAGATTGAATAAAACTGCCACTATGGTACAATTTATACTTTTCTAAAATGAATGCAATCATTTTAAAAGGTGCGGCCCTCCGCTAACCTCCGCTTCCACAAAGTGGCCCCCCGAGCCAAAACAATTGCCCACCCCTGTGTTCGTATGTCCCGAAATTTTGGGTACCGCTAGAACAACGATATCGCCGAATTGATTTTCAAATCGAAACGCGGAACGAAATAAGTAATATTATAGCTGCACGAGAATGATAGGGGTTTGCCTGGCTCGGTCCCCTTTCATCTCCATGGACACAGACCCTCAGCGATCCTCAACCTTGCCAACGGTGTTCCTGTAATTACATGGAAATCCGGTCGGTTGATTTTCCCTCAGGTTCGATCGACTAGCACACTAGCGGTTACCTAATGGCAACGCGTTATTCTTAATCTCACGATGCAAAGTAATTACGGATAGGAGGAGCAAACCAGGCCGATTACAGGGTGGGCTCGATAAATGTCCCGGGTAAAAATTATTGATTGCTACGCGATCGAGATCGGCGCGGCGCGCCGTTACAATTTATTATCGATCGATTCGATTATTGGCGAAACATTAAATTATCGCATCCGCTACCGATCACACGCGTAGCTGATTTCTTTTTATACGCGTTTTTGTAACATTTTATGAATGTCATGAAAAATATCGAGTAATTGTGATAGAGATATTATACGGTTCGCGAACCTTTTCTTTGCCGCTCGTTATACGCGACGTACCAATCACGGGTTGCACGCAATTTCGTGAAAAGTGTTTCAGCTGGAAAAAGTTAGCCATCAATCGTGAAATCGTTGGAGTGCGGAGAATTCGTGAAGCCGAGCATGACCGCGACATTAATCGAGCGATGCTCGGTGTATGCGCGCACAGTAACCGCTAGGTAAAACCGCAACCGATAACCTGGTCGGTTTATCTTGTTGCAGAACACCGTGAAACTTTACTCGGCCATCAACATCCTTCCCGTCGCTTTTTCACCATTCGACTCGATCTCCGAGTCGATCGAGAACGCGTGATCGATCCGCGACCAAACACTCGGGATGGCTCGCGTTTAACGACCCGCCACTGATGCTACGCGTTCCCCGTTCGAAAAAAGGAGGAAATCGGTGCGAGTTGCGGCGAACGGAGCAGCAGGTTCTATCGATCGATAAGTCGTTATGGTTATCGTCCATCGGCGCGCGACTTTTTTTAACCGGACCTCGCCTGATATCCGTTCTGGTATGCCAAAAAATTGGACCAACCGAGATGGAACTGGTTGTTGCTAACTTCGATCGACTTCGAGACATTCGTGTATCCATCGGCGACCGGTGAATGGGATTGATTAATAGGCGGTTTTCTTGCTATTCAAAAATATTTGAAAATGGAATTTCATCGTATTGATAGGTTGCGTTTCGACGAATTTCTATGTCTAGTTAGAGAAGATTCATGAAAATAGAGGGAGGGCAGAGCTGTGTTTACCCCTAGGCAAAGTAGACACGTGCCTAGAGTCAAATAAAAAGAGGGAGGTGAGGGTATACCTAAGGCCTGAAAAGTTCTACATACGCCCCTGGACGGGGGTGTACAGAGTGGAGGTGCCTATTTGGATAACCTACCTACTTATTTATAGAATGACCTAGTACCATTCTATTCCATCGAAAATCTAATCCTTAGGAAGCTAGAAAATCAATGTCTGCAGCCATGATTGATTAGAAAACACAAGGAATTTGTTGAATACATTATTGCCTTTTCTCGAAATTTTCTGGACGCTTCCAGACCGCGTCGTTTTCGCCAAGTTTCTCCATTACCGTTGTTACACGTCTGATTTTCCTCGATCATTTATCAAAAGGCAATTCATCAAACAGTGGCGATAATTTCAATTGGAGCACTGTTTTTATAGGTCGCGAAACAAGGTTGATCTGAAACTGCGAAACGATAACAGTATCTCCTTTAATTAGCGGTGCAGAGTAACAGGGATTCTCCCTGTTGATACTCGGATGCTTGCAAAAAAGAAGATGAAGAAGAAAAAGGAAAC